TCTCTCTCTCTCTCTCTCTCTCTCTCTCTCTCTCTCTCTCTCTCTCTCTCTCTCTCTCTCTCTCTCTCCCTCCCTCCCTCTCTCTCTCTCTCTCTTTTGTAACGTCCTGCAGGAACCGGCTGCTGGAGGTGATAACCTCCAGGAGAGGGCAGCCCTACCTCTCTGTCTGTCCCGTATGTACTCTTTGCAAACTTTTGCACGAGGGGGGATGTGCTTCACCTTTGTCAATTGTGATTTGTTTGTCTTTTTGCCATAAGGATCAGGTATTGAAACTGAAAAATTAAATACTATTAATCACTGATTTCTATTTGTTTGTGGTTTGTCTGCCAAAAACGCATTCACCTTTATGAACGGATGGACGGATGGGCAAATCAGGTGGAAGTATTGAGCAAGTGCCAGTCGTAAGAATATTTGGATCGACAGCAGGAGGACAGAAAACCTGTCTACATTTGCACAGGGTAAATCCTTTTTGAACTCCTTTCTTCCCTACTTTCTTGCTATGCGATTTTCTTTTTCCCTTCCTTTTTTGAATGCTTGATACTTGTGTAATGAACCCAGACTGGAAGATACTCAGCAGACGTCGAAGTACAAGTAGTCTCAATTCTGCACAATGTCTCCAGTTAACGTGAAAGTGATATTTGATACAATAACTTGTTACCGATAGACGAAGAGAGTGGAGGGGGAATAGACAGAGGAGAGGGTGGAAGAGATAATCAGTGACCACGCAAGAGTAGCCCAATCACTACCCACTCCTTCTCCGGGCTCCTCCTCCCTCCACGTCATCAATCAATAAACAGTAACGAGTCTGAAAAGTCCTGATCACGCAGAAGTGCCACGTGGCACTATTCTCCCATGGAGACAATGAAGACAATCAGCAATGCACAATGTCGACGTCAATCCTCAGGTAAGTATCTCGTTCCTCAATCGTCCACAGATCCCGATCTCCCTCCTTATCGCAACCAGTCACCTCATGTAGACAGCGTGGCCAATGCCACATCAGCAATGGAGACAGGTGGCCTGCGCCACATCAGCAATGTAGACAAGTGGCATGCCCACATCAGCAATGTAGACAAGTGGCATGTGCCACATCAGCAATGTAGACAGGTGGCATGCGCCACATCAGCAATGTAGACAGGTGGCACCACATCAGCAATGTAGACAGGTGACATGCGCCACGTCAGCCTGGCTGGCGCACAGACACAAAGGCGCCAGCATATCGCCACAGTCCCGCGTCGTCGTCCACAGTGCCAGCGTCAAGCTAGCGTCCAGACAGCGTCGAGCCAGTGTCGAGCCAGCGTCGAGCCAGCGTCAAGCCAGCGTCAAGGCAGCGTAGCAAGACTGAATGTTGACCTCCCGGAGACCAGGTCTTATGTAGTGTTTGACGAGGCAGTCTGGCCTAAGGTCTCCTTCCCACAGTCGTACAGATTGACTCACAGTCGAGGGCCTGGAGTGTTTACAGTTGCAGATTCCCCTTTGGTCCTGATGCTGTCTGGGTACCTGCATACAAACAAGTGTGTGCGTCTGACCGGCGGCCTGGGCTGGGTCCACTTTGACTTTGACTGTTGGTCGTCAGACAGTTGACTTTAGTCAACTGTTGCTCGTTCAGGCCCTGAATCTCTACGTGGCGTTCTTTTCCCCTTCGGCCTGGGTCTGAGTGTGGCCTGGCGAGGCCCTTAGACTTTTCCCCGAGGCATACTACATGGGTTATTGCATTGAGTCTAAAACAGCAATGGTATGTTGTCTGCTTTGCTTTCCTCGACACAAAGATTGGCTGTGTTGTTTGGTACTGATCAGTACTTAGTAGCTTCAGATCCATCACGGAATCGAATCGGCACCCTTAGCCACAAGATCTGAGTCTCTTAACCGCCACAGCCATGACATGGTGTTTAAAAGTGGAACCATAGCGGTTTTGATATCTGCGTGCAAGCATCGAATTGGACTGGAGCCACGCGATTTAAGTCTGTTAACCACTAAGGCCATGACACGGTGTTTAAAAGTGGAACCATACTGGTTATGATATCCATGTGCAATCATGGAATCGAACCGGCACCCTTAGTCACAAGATCTAAGTCTCTTAACCACTACAGCCATGCCATGGTGTTTAAAAGTAGAACCATGCTGGTTGTGATATCCACCACACCCCTGCTGCATGACTGTAGTCTCCTATACTTGCTCACACGACACTGGCAAGTGATGGACACCTCGCTTCAATCCATCACATGACCTTCCACTGTTCCTGGCCACCAAACATGAGGCAACCGTCCCTTAGCGGTTACCAGATGCTTCCACAGTCGGTACTGATCAGTGCCGGATCCATCCGTGCAAGCACGGAATTGGAAACTGAAGTGGCACCCTTAACCACAAGACCCAGGTCTCTTAAACCACCACTTCCCCCAACGTCGAAAATTCGGGGTTCCTGGTGATATGGACCAGGTTTTTAAGGGGGGGTGGCGACTGGCAGGCGCAGGCGGGTCCAGTCTCGCAATTTTCAATCGTCAAAGTTTAGACTGCGAAGTAAATGCCACGCCGATTTGTTGCATTTTCCATTTTTGCCAGTCTACCATGTGTGGATCAACGGAAAAAGTACCCCAACTTCTGCGATTTTTCGCACTCAGAAGAATAACTCAAAAGCTCTGACAATTGGGGGGTCGGTAGATTTGGTCGTGATCTTCCCAGGAAAAATATTTTTAAAGAAAATATAAAAAATCGTTCCAACCGTGAAATAAATTGCGGCGGCAATTCGGCGCATTTCCATTTTTGCCACTCTGCTGGTCCTCCCCACTGTGCTACTGGTAGGCCTCATGAACCTGTGCTACCAGTCCCCCTGAATTCAGGATGGCGGGGGTAGTGGTGATTTAACCACTACAGCCATGGTGTTCAAGAACCATATCGGTCATGATATCCACCCCATGTGCTGCTGAGTGAGTGATGGGACACCCTAAAAAAAGGACTCCCTTTTGATCGGGGCAATTGCTGAGAAAATGAAAAGTAGGATAAACACCAAGTGGATGGGTGGCCATGTTGTGTTTCTCTGTGATGGAGGAATCATCATCATCATCGTCATCATCGCCATCATCATCGTCATCATCATCGTCATCATCATCGCCATCATCATCGTCCCCGATTCCCCATCATCCTCATCATTATCACCATCACCACCACCATCATCATCATCATCGTCATCATTCCACCACAACTTGTGGCTGGACTGGCTGATGGAGGAATCATCATCATCAACATCACAATCTTCATCATCACGATCATCATCATCACGATCGTCATCACTGGCATCACTTTTTCTGAAGGTGCCTGGTGTGCACGGCACACCCAAATGAACCTGAGCGCTGAGGCCCGAGACCCGACCAGTTGACCCGCCTGCATGGGTGGCCAGGCAGTCTTTGGACAGCTGTGGGTGGCCCATGCGGCCGGGAAAATAACCCAGCTAGTTTGTGAATTTTCAGAATTTCAGAAGTCTATTTCGGGAAATTCGTTAAAATTGGAACGATACAGAGAAGAATAGCATGGCCCCTGGGCAAGGATGACACACATAAATCGAGAAATGGTCCATTTTTTTTGATAGGGCCAGCCCGTCTGGCCCCGAAAGCATATGTTCGGAGTTGTCCCTCCAGAGGCGGAGCACCGTCGCGCGAGGGTTCTCTTCATGAAAAAAAAAAAGAAAAAAATATGTCTTCTTTGCCACTGAGAGATGATTAGTCGGAGCTAACGAGGCCGCCGCATCTAACTTTGAAGCATGAAATCCATTCGCATTCATGGACCAAAGTTACCAAACATAATTTTCCCGACGTTCCATCACACCACCCTCTTTGACTTGTAGCTTGTAGAAAGTTTAGTGAAATACTACTAATTGACCGAATTCGGCGAATTGCCAAATCCATCAAAGATACTTCAAGTTATACGCAGCCTCGTTACTTCTGACCAATCATCTCTGATCGCCGTTTCTACAACCCATCTCGAAAATGAAGAAACGACGAAGAAAGGAATTCAAGAAATGCAGCGAATTCCCAAATCGCCGCGTCGCACTGACAGAGTAACTTCGATCGCCAGTGCGCGAGAAAAGCCCAACCAGTCATTGAGGTCACTCTGGTTGTCCCCAACACCATGGGTTTTGGCCGGAGCTGGAACGGTTTTAGTGTCAATCAGTTGCTCTATTTATAACCGTACAAAGGTACGAAGTACCTAAAAAACGTTCTTACTGATTTAGGACGAGAGGACTGAGAGCATGCTGTGCGTTTTTCTTTTCCTCCAAGCTATGTATTGACTCGTGACGGTGGGGTTTCTGTGTCTTCTGCTGATCTTGTGTTTCCACGCAGGCTTTTCCCTACTTTTATGTTCCGTATTATCACGATTTGCCACAGGAAGCAGATGAAGGTAAGCCCAGCAGACCAGGAAGGGGGGGGGGAATGAAGAAAAGGCCTTTCCTGTCGAAAAAAACTGAAAAAAATTAAAAAAAAAACTTCAAAAAAGACCAAACTCAATCATATATGGTTTTAGTTTTAGCACAAAATGTGAGGCTTTAGTCTTGTGGAGGACATAATGTGCCAATATAAAAAAGACTGGAGTGCGCATATGCACGCCAGCATCGCCCCTCTGCCTCATCCGAAGAAAAGGAAAGTGAGCAAGAAGCAGGCACTTGTGTGCCATTGGAATTGGATCTGTTTGTTGCATCTCTGTGGTTCATGGCACCTGGTTGTCATATTTGGGTTGAAAGGGAAAAAAAACCGCCCTTTCCAAGATGCGCATTGACGAGTTCTTGAACACAGACTGAAGTTTAGTCCAGAGAGCAAAGCAATAAAAGACTGTGTGTGTGTGTGTGTGTGTGTGTGTGTGTGTGTGTGTGTGTGTGTGTGTTGGGGGGGGGAGAGGGGAGGAAGTAGGAGTAAACTGAAAGGCCTCCCTCCTCACCTCCTTCCCTTCAGCCCTTGAAAAAATGTGCAAAAGGAGAATCGCAGAAATAAGAGTAGACAAAAACAAACGGAAGAGAGGAGGAGGAGGAGGAAGACAAAAGTAGAGAGGCGAAAATGAAAAAAAAAAAGTCAGACAGTCAAAAATGAGAAATTGGTTCCAATGGGCCTTTTCCAGTTGGTACACCCGTGAACTCTGGAAATATAGACCTGACTCACCTGAGTTCAAATCCTAGTAGATGGAGATGAGTGGAACAAAAGAATTCTGAATCATCTGGGGCCGGTCACCTGGATGATAATATCTAAACCCTGTTGCCCTTTTAAACCACCAGTACTTGGCCCAGTCGTTCATTTCCGCCCTGGTCTGTTAAAAGCACTAGTACATGCCAGCTATCGGCCGCGAGCCCCTTTCGGAGGCCGCCCGCCGCCGATTCACTTTATCTACAGAGCTCGGCCTCCTAAATTTTCGGAGAGACTCAAAACAGGTTCTCCAGTTGCCTGGGGCCATGTACTGGTGGTTTAACACACCTTTGGGGCAAGGGTACCGGCGCAAATGGCTGGCGCCGCCAGCCAAAAGAAAGTTGCCAGATCGGGAGTACTTTACTGGTGATTTAAAGAGAAGAATGGAAAAAAAAAGAGAAATTGAAAAAAATATTGCCTGATCGGATGAAGGCCGAAGGACGCAAATTGTATGGGTTCATTAGCATGGTCAACTGGAAACGTTTCGAGATGTCTAACGAGTGGTAAGCGTCATGGAACTGAAAATGAAAAGACAACAGAAAATGTAGACAGTAAATTGCAAACTTGACAAGATATGAAAGCAAAAAAAAAAAAGAAAAGAGAAAGAAAGAAAAAAAAAAGAAACGAGTCTCCATACTTGCGGCGCATCGACATGCGCTGCACCGCGCACACGCGCCGCACTGCGCACAGCGCACGACGCGCGCGCACGGGGTGCAGCGCACCCCAAAAAGAAGGGGTCGAGAAAAAAAAAAGTAGTTGGGAAGGGGTGTTTTAGACCCGAGTGGGATGTCGCGTCATAAGCCACAAAAAAAATTAACAAAAATTTGAGGTCGCGCGGGGCCTCCGAAAAAAAAAAAAGGGGGGAAGTTCGTTTTTTTGTTTGTGTGTGTGTGTTGTTTGTGTGTGTGTGTGTGTGTGTGTGTGTGTGTGTGTGTGTGTGTG